CAACTCTGTCTTGCCTGCCTTGATTTGGGGAAGCCTTCCGTGGTCGACGCTAGTTTCCCTTTCGCTATTAGCAAATACGTGTGCTATCCCTTAGACGACTCGCATGTATTAGTATAGACAAGGATTAAAGAAAACCTGTAGGTTGACGGTACTCGGAAGCAGCGTTAGGGCCTTATTGACACTCGTCTTCCTCTACCTAGTCCTCTGACGGCCAATGGCCAACGTTTGCACACCCTAGGATCCATTTCCCTGTCTTTAGGCTTCCCCACTGGGACCAAACACCATTCTTTTCTCGTTAGCCCTTCCATGACTTGGGACATTCTACTAAGCGTTGATTTTCTCACTAAATTTAATTGCTCTATTGATATCTGTTCACGCTCGTTACGATTTGGCCTTACTACTCCCCCTATGTCGTTATCCACCTCTTCACCTTCGGATGATGATTTCTGTGAAGCCATCGAGGCTGCCATTGCCCTACCCCCGACTAACCTTGAAGGCTTCCTCTCTTTATATACCGATCTCGATACACCCGCTCGTGCGCAGCTACAGCCTCTACTGGCACAGTCCGCCGATATTTTCGCTTGGGATGACCGTTCCCTCGGACGTTCCTCCGTACTTCGCCACTCTATTGATACAGGCTCGGCCAAACCCGTGTGGCAACCGCCAAGGCGGATACCTCTACATTTCCAACCACAAGTACAGGATATGATTAAGATGATGCTGGAGGCCCGTGTCATTCACCCGTCACATTCACCATGGGCCTCCCCAGTTACGCTGGTACCCAAGAAGAACGGTAAACTACGTCTATGCATAGACTACCGTCGTCTTAATGCCCTCACAATGCGCGACTCATTTCCGCTACCCCGCATCGACGGTACCCTCGACGCGTTGTCTGAGGCGCGTTGGTTCACCATCTTGGACTTGAAGTCGGGTTACTTGCAAGTGGAGGTAGAGCCCAAGGACAGAGCCAAAACTGCTTTTATCATCCCACAGGGACTTTTCGAGTTCGAGACGATACCCTTTGGCCTCTGCAACGCAGCCGCCACATTTCAACGTCTTATGCAATCCGTTTTCTCTCATCTCTACCCTCGCTGTTGCCTCATTTACCTCGACGATGTGATTGTCTTTGGCAAGTCTATTACCGAACACAACGATAACCTCCAGGCAGTCCTCGCCACCCTTCGTGATTCCGGGTTACGCCTTAACCCCCTTAAGTGTTCGTTTCTACGAGATAGAGTCACTTATTTAGGCCATAAAGTTAGCCGGGATGGCATACAAGCCTCCCCCGAGAAAATTGCGGCCATCAAGACCTGGCCTACGCCGACTTCGGCTACGGACGTGCGCAGTTTGTCCGTCCTCGCATCGTACTACAGGCGCTTCATACGCGGCTTCGCGGAGATCGCGCGTCCTCTACATATTCTCACTGAGAAAGACCGTCCGTCTCAGTGGTCTGAAGCCTGCCAAACTGCTTTCGACGAACTCAAGGCACGTCTCACTAACGCCCCCGTACTGATATTACCTAATGTCCTCCCCGACGCCCCCGAATTTATCCTTGATACGGATGCTAGCTGTTCCGCTATCGGCGGCGTCCTATCACAACCTGACGAAACCGGCGTCGAAAGGCCCATTCGCTTCGCAAGTAGGAGCCTCACAAAATTCGAACGCAAATACTCTGTGTACAGACGCGAACTAT